TGCCTACTTCATCTCTTGTTCTTCCTGCAGACGTTGCATGGATAATATACGACCCTCTGCTACGACATGGTCAGGACTACCTCAACCATTTCTCTCCATTTGTCCTCGAGAAATTGCTGTCTTTGGCTGAGACAAAACTACAGCCTGGAGGCAAGTCTCAATTATCTGATTCCCTATCGTACATGATTTCCCCCTGCCTAGCGTAGACGCTTTAACTGACATGTTGCCTTTTTAGGAATGCTGTTGATTGTCGCTCAGCAAATCTTAGACCCATCCAGCCGGGAAAAAGGAACCCCAATTGAAACGGTGCACAAACTCCTGGCAGAATTTCCTTTCCTGGGAAAAGTCCTGTCATATGAAGTGACACCTAGATACCTCGGTGAAACGCCAGTCAGGTTGTTGGCCCTTATTAAACTCTCTAGTGCCAAGGAGGAGCCTGAGGCACCTGCGCTGTTGGAGTCTTTGTGTGCGTTGGAGCGGACACCTTCGCAATTTTTACAACACATAAACTCCTCTCTCCGCTTCACAACTTTCCCACACGAACAGGTGGTTGAGACGCTTGCTACATCCTCTTGGCCATGTGTCAAATGTATTCTTGGTCGACTTAGCAAAACGTAACCTGCAAAATATGATCTAATTATTCTGTTACTGCTTGTTTTTAAGCCAAATTAGAAGCCATTCGTCATTGGATCTTGATTGCCGTACAAAATGCGCACGCCCCGTTTAGCCGTAGAGCTCTAACCAACAACGACAACAGCCATTCCACTATCTCCTGTCGTCGGCAGTAGTGCGTCCGAGTATTAGTTATCTTTGCTATGGCTGCGAAGGTTATAGACCAAAGCGCCGAGGAAGAGCGGAACGCCTGGATTGCAATTAAGATTGGTCGGTGAATGCAACTCCCACATGATCACATTCCTTATTGATCGCAACCAAAAGGGTTTGAGTTCCTTACTCAACGGTAAATTTCTAACTGGAAGACCAACCGAGCGCCAATTAGGGCGTCAACTCTCGGCGTTGTTTTGGGTATGACTGTCAGTAACAGATACACATTAAAAATAGCCATTCTTATCTTCTCGGGCAATTAATACTGCTCTTTTATATCTTAAGCCGAATAACACCTTTGCTAGTGTTCCCAAAGACGAAGTTATGGACATCCGCCGTTGATCAAACTCTATAGAGACCTCTGAGAAAGTAGGTGCAAACGACAAACTCCTGGTCGCCGGCCGATTGTAGCTTGGCCGTCAATGAGAGAACTTGGTGCTATGCCTTCTTCGGGCGCCTCTATGACCTGTGCTTGAAAGGTCAGGCCTGTGTTCTTGTCTCCGACTAACAGCACGCTAGTTTCTAGCCTTTCGCAGACGTTACGCTAAATTACTTCAAACTTCCGTGTATTCAATTCACCCTTTACGGGTGCAAGAGTTAAGGGCAAACGGAATTTATTGATAACATCGGCCGAAAGTGTCACGGTGTTACTTTCCGACAACACAGGAGCGGTAATTGCCACTCATGAGCAGTCAAATAATAGCACTAATTTCATTGAGGACAATCTAGCGCCAGAGGTATAAATTGACCGACCCTTGTGGACAATTTGGCTGCAAACTATGTGTCAAATGTCCATATAGTAAATGGCACGATTCTAATCACCTGTCAGGTTGCTAACACTGACTGCTTGGGATTTTCGTTCCCAGTGCATACCCAATGCTTAACGGGCTAACACGAAGACAGGTCTGTTCGTCAGCGGGCCGGTTCAAGTAAAGGTGAATATCACGCCTCTCAGTAAGACCCGCCTCTCTAGAGAAAAACAACCAAATGTGGCAGACGGTGATACACCCCAGACAGATGCCCAAAAGAAGTGCGGTGAGACCCTGAAGTCGCTCTCGCCATCAGAAACCACACGCAGAAGGGGTTTCCATACCCTTCTTAGGGCATCAGTGATTGTCTCATAACCGTCCCCGAAAGATAGATTCGCCGTAATCTTCGACGTTTACACCGGTCTCTCCCTCCAGTGGCAAGCCATGAGGATATGAGGGGCAAGTTCTGAGGAGACGTGCATGCGCCGTACCCGGACAAATTGGTTCTCGACTACTTCAATACCTGCGGAGCCACAGATTTTTCGGCCTGGGAAGGATGACGGCATAGTTGTGTATATAAGACGATCTGGTGGTGTCGAAAAAGGCCACCATGTTTGCATGCAGCACGGAAGCTGTTTGGTTGGCCATCAAGGCTACTGGTTCCCCGTGTCTCGATGTCCTCACTGTCTACCGACCACCTCGGATAGACCAAATCGCCGACACTCAACTATTGGAGCAGTTGGAAAAATTGTCCAGTCGACCTAACATCATGATCATGGGCGACTCCAACGCACCAGTAATTAACTGGAAAACTGTTCAAGCGTCAGGTCCAAAATTAACATTCGACTAGTCTTTGCTGAACAAAACATTAAAGGCGCTCCTCGCACAACATGTTATGTTTCCAACGAGAACTCGTGAAGCACAAATGGCTAACTACGTGGATTTAGTTTTTACAAAAGCATCAGACAGCGTAGACGAGGTCATCTCCATGCCGCCTCTTGACCTAAATGACCCATGTAGTGCCTATGTGGGATTATTCGTTATTCTGTAGCAGCCGTTTCTGTGCCCCCTCGTTTGACTGTATACGCGCCACGGCTGCGCACATTAACCATCGATCTGTCTCGCTGCAATCCCGTCCACGCCACACTCCTGATCTGTTCTCTGCCTGAACCATGTGAGGTGTGCAACTACTCTCGCGTGCTCTCGAAGCCAATCAATGCAACTCCTTCCGCTGATTGGTAACACAGGCGAGTATATGAGACCAGTGGCGTAAACAACACAACACCTTGTCGGCAGCAACTGACCGCGACTGACGCTCCCCGTGAACGGACGCTTAGCTCTGTCACAAGCAACCAGCCAACTGCCCTGTGTACAGAATAAACTAGTCCACAAGGCTCCTTGACTTCTCACATTAGACGAAACGAAATTATGGTCTGTGGTTTAAGTTGATCTCACATCCTTGACCGCCACAATTCACTGTTTTGCATACTCCAGACCAAAAGACGCAACATTTGGCGGGGCGATTTCAATCAGACAGGAACAGATTTATCCGGCCTCACCTGGAGCTCAGTGTTTACGAGCAATTCCAATGACGACTGGAAGTTGTCCAAGAATTTACTTCTGTAGTTCATCAACAACCATTGCCCACTGACGTGTGTAAGATCGAACAAGCGGCTTGAGTGGCTAAATGGCAACCTAAAGAAAGGAATTAACAGGAAGCACAAACTATGGAGAAAATATCGCGTCAATGTGCAATTCGAGTATTTCAACACTTACAAGACACGGAGAAACAAAATGAGAAGCATGCTGGTGGTTCCACGAAAGTGTCTGTGTTGTCTGAGTAGCTACCTTCGTTCTTAGTATTACAGGCTGGCTCCACTGAAACGGCGTATACTTCCGAACTACCTTCCCCTTGAAAAAACCCAGGTTGTGTTCGTCCCCCTTCCGTCTCGATTTTAACTCGAAGATGAGTTCCCGGCGTCTCAGCCGTTCTGCTGTTGAGTAGTCCGGTTGAAAAAATCTGTTTGTGTGCGTTTCTGAGGTCGTTTTTTGGAGAGGATCAACTTGATTTGCTCTTTGTTCTCCAGCATAATTTCGGGAGGAAGAGGTGGTAGTGCGACTGTCCTGTCTTCACTCCGTTTTCCTATCCAGAATGCCTTCAGAACCCTTATTTCCATGTCTGCCTGGAGTAAATGATTTAGTAGACCATGAAAAGATGCAAGGTCCTCCGAGGCGCCGTCTGCAGGTCTGACCGCATTCGATTCCGACAAACCCTGAATAACTAGACACTGCTGGCGATCATGCTCCTCCTTACTTTGTCTTTCCGGCAAATTCGCTGCATGTGAACGAAGACGATATACGGAGTCGTCGCTTGGACGCACACTTCTGCTTTTGACTGACTGTCTCGAGCAACCCCTCAGGGCTGGTTGTAACTTCAGACTCCTGTCATGGCGTTTCCCTCTCCCTTCTAGTTTTTCAGTTTATTTGGTAAGGATAATAGGCAAAGCGCTTGAAAACCCCATTGATTACATGTCAGCTCGTTAGAAATAACTGTACACGAACAATAAAAATATTCGCTATTAAAACAGTACTTGATTCATTTGAGTAGCATTGTCTCAGAGAAAATATTTGTGGGGACGTGGGGTCTTAGCTCAAATTCAGACCGTCGAGGGAAAACAGGGGACACAAATAATCATCCAAGCGTTTCTTGAAGAGTTGCATGGACGTAGCCTCCACGACTGACTGAGGGAGATCGTTCCATTTCTCCACCACCCTCTGCGTGAAAAATTCAGAACGAAGACTCACCCTGGACATTGTTGTTCGTAACTTCGTCGAGTGACCACGAAGATTGGGTGAAAGGTGCCACTGAAACATGTCCTCAAATTTAAGTCCATGCTCAAGGTCATGTATTATCTTCTAGACGAGGATAAGATCACCTATTTGTTGCCTGTAACACAGAGGGAATAAATTAAGGCAATTCAGTCTGTCTGTGTAGGATTGGCTTTTTAGACCGTTTACCAGCTTTGTTGTACGCCGTTGTACCCGTTCGAGGCATGCTTGGTCCTTTACTAGCCATGACCGCCATGCCTGTAGGCCATATTCTAAGTGGGACCGAATAAAAGTGCCGTAAACTCTCCCAAAAAGGTCTTGGTCAAAGTTTACGAAAGCCCTTTTGCTTGCATGCAGCACACCCATGGCGTTTTTTGCAGCCTTGTGGCACTGCAGTGTTGGTTTCAGGTTGTTCTGTATCCAAACCCCGAGATCCTTCTGTGATGATTCTGCAAGGAGCCTTATATCTTTCAGGTGATATGTCCTCAGGCTTTCATTTGAATGAGAGTTGCTTGGACGCATATAAATGACAGCACACTTCTTCACATAGAAATCTAGAAGCCATTTCTCCGACCACGCTTGCAGTCGATGCAGACTACCTTAAAGGGATCTCTGATCATTCGGATCCTTAATTACTTGCCAGAGCTGAATTTCGTCTGCAAACATTATTTTGCCGCAGTCGAGTTCCTGAAGGCTGTCGTTAACATAAAGGATGAAGAGCAATGGTCCCAGAACTGAGCCTTGAGGCATACCACTGGTCACGTTCATCCATTCTGACATATCATCTCCGATAAAGACACGTTGTTTCCGACCAACCAGAAACGCCCCAATCCAGTTCAGAAGATCTCCCCGGATGCCGATGGCGCTCAATTTGTGAAGAAGGCTTTGGTGCGGAACAGTATCGAAAGCTATGCGGAAATCGATGTACACGACATCGACCACAAAACCCTCTTCTAGAGCCCTGGTCCAGATCTCCAGACAAGCTAGCAGATTTGAGAGGCAGGAACGTCCTCTCCGGAAGCCATGTTGAAAATCCTGCAAGATGTTATTTTCCTCACAGAATTGCTGTATAGCGTTCTTTACTATAGCTTCCATCGTTTTGCAAGGGAGGCAAGTTAAGCTAATAGGTCGAAAGCTGCTTGCTGTCATCTTGCTACCTCCCTTATGCAATGGAACGAGGTTAGCTGTCTTCCACTGTGAGGGCAGTCTTCCTGTTCTCATTGACAGCTCAAAGAGAGTCGAAAGAGGCTTTGACAGCTCCGTTGATAGCTCCTTAAGTATCAGCCCGGGAATTCCGTCGCGTCCAGGGGACTTATCAGGTTTCATTTGACTGAGGACGCGTCTGACTTCTTCGACGGAAAAGGCGACGGTTTCAATGACGGCAATATCTTGGCGCATTTGAAGCTCCTGGCTGTCTCGGTCCATTTCGAACTGCTGATTGTTTTCTGAGGACTCCCCCGTAAAAACCGATTGAAAAAACTAAGACAGTAATCGCACTTTCTGTGGCCCTTCAATTAATAAGTTTCCGAGGCTATCCTTTAGACACGCAATTTCGTCCCTATGTTTCCTCCTACTGCGGATGTACCCGTAAAACTTCTTTGGACATGTAATGGATTCTGCTATCAGTTGGCGCTCAAAAGAAGTTCTAGCAACGCGTATTTGCTTGCGGCATTTATTGCGCTGATCCTTATATTCAGCGAATCACCTTGGATCTCGAAGTTGCAAATACTTTTCCAAAGTCTCTGTTTCTTCTTTATGGTCTTTTTTGTCGTCGGATTGACCCACGGCGGTCGCGCACATGGTCTTGTCATTTTTATCGGACAATATGAATCAATTAGACGTTCTATAATCCCTCGAAAGTACTGCCAGAATTATTCTGAATCTTTTGTGGTAACCAACCAGGTTTCCTCCAAAAGAGTGCGTCTCATTGAGTTAAAGTCACCCTCCTCCTCTACGCTGAAATCTTTCACAGCGGAACAGTTGGTAGCCTTCAATACTGACTTCGCAACTACTTATTTCCTCAGTCAACCATATCTCTGTTAGGACAATTATGTGTGGCCTCTGTTCAGAGACTAGTAATCTGAGTTCATCTAGCTTGTTGAGAAGACTCTGACAATTAGCGTAATAGATTGCTAGACAGCGGCCATTGGTGCGAACAGCCTCAGGAGTTGGCACCTTTGCATTGGCTAGGCTGTCAGAATGACGGCCTTCGGGCATACATATGTCCTTTTGACCTGAATTATTTGTCCGTTCTTGATTTGTAGGTGTGTTTCGCCGCTGCTTCTCCGCTTTTCCAGCTCCGTCATTTGCTCTCTCATTTTCATTCGCTCTTTTGGCTCGTAATCCGGCTGAAAAAATAACTTCGGGATGCTGGCCCCGCAGAGATGATTTTCTCTGTAACAGGATCTGGGCCTGTGCTTCAGTCTCCAAAACGACTCTTAGGGGTTGAGGCCGGGAATTGGAACCGGATGCTGACTGACTCTTCCATATTCAGAATGCTTTTTGAACATTAAGTGACTCATCGTCTCTTAACAAAGCTTTCGCATACACTTGAAGAAGGTCTAAGTCATGAATAACTCTCTCCTTTGGAATTGTTGCCGTTGATTCGGGTACTCATTTTATAACTACCTTTTGCTTGCGACTGAATCGAGCGCTCGTTGCTGTCGTAAATCTTTTAAGTGACTGAGCGTTGTTCTCCAGTTTACTTGCTTCGCTGGTTTCGGATGAACTAGCTATTGAGCTAGCGAAACTGAGATCCGTGTACGATTCATTTATTTTCGTGTTGATAACCCTTCCTTCTGTGTTCCCGAGTTGTTCGTCGAAAACGCTTACATCAGTTTCTTTCGAAGCCTCCTCCTGAATATTCGGTCCATAAGGTGTTCCGATATCTTTATAGTTCAACATATTTGGGAGCCCGCGGCGGTCCTTCGCAGGCCTCCTGGTCGTCCTCCTTCGCTGGTCTGCGTGTACACAAGCGGCCTTCGTTTATTTTGGACCGTACAGATGTGCGCGTTGTTTTTCTGGGATGTTTCTTTGTTCTCTGAGTTCGCTTTGGCTGGTCTTTTTCTCGCCTAAGAGACTGGCATTCAACTGTGTCTAGTTCTCTGGACGAACCGTCGTCAGTTTCAGCGTTTGATATGGCTAAATAGCCATGGTTGCATATGTTTTTTTCGGATTTTGAATTGCCGAATTCGTCGACTTCTTCTCTTCACGTAAGTATTGAGTAAGCTTCCTTAACTCTCCTACCTCCATTTTCAGACCTTTTAACTCTCCCTCCATTTTCGAAAACTTATGGATGAGTCCGAAACATGTGGTACAGATTTCATAGTCGCACGTGACATCCTCCAACATCACTAGACTTTTTGCTCTTTGTTATAATGACTACGTCGGATTGTGTGTGACTGAGTAAAGTGAGTATTCAAAACTCAATAAGCGAAAAAAATACTTAAAATCTGATAACTTTTGTTGGACTTTAATCAGACGCTACTTAGCCCTTTGCAGATCTCGTGGGACTTGAACAACCGCAGACCTCGTAGGAGTTTGAGCAGTTGGTTTTCTAGGCCCTAAATTACCGCGATTTGGTTGCGTAGGCAGTTCAACCGTGCTGATAAACAAATTGCACTTAATCCACTTTCCTGGCGAATTTCGACGCGTGAAAAAATATGGCAAAAAATGCCCAAAACAATTCTGAACGTACGGTTCCGGCATCAATTTCAGAGACGGTAATTTTGAAGTGGTAATTTTGAAGTCGAAATAGTCCAAGTTGGCGCGCAGAAGAATTCCGTTGTGCTCAGTCGGGCTTCAGTTGTTCCAAAACCTTAAAACTAGCGATATTTGAAAACGCATTGAAGACATGTACGTTAGACCTGGCCTGGAATGCCGTTCGTTTTTATTTAGCCTCGTGCGTGCTGCTGAGCGGAAAAAAAAAGAATCCGTACAACATTATTTTACCAAGAGAAGTCAATTGGCTAGCATATGCTTTCGGTAATTCCTCATCAGGCCTGTGCAATTACAAGGGAAATGACCAGTCTAATTGTCGACAGGGTAGAAATGGATCTCGGGGACTGGGTTAATCGAACTCCATGTTCCCTCGCCGCCCGCTTGACGGAGTCAGCGTGTTGAGGACGATGGATTTGGGGTGGGAAGGGGAGAAGTAGAGGAGTTCCGGTTATATTGTAGGCGCTGTGAGTGCGTGTGACTGCTCTCAGTGCGTCGGGACGGCGTGCGATCACCGTCGGGAGTCGGCCAGGGCAGACAGACTGCTTGTGCCAGCGTCTTCTGACAACGGAGTGCTCGGTTCGCCAGTCGAATGGCCACTGCTTCGGCTGTGGCTAGCACCCGTTTGCGCAGGCCTTTAGAGTAGTGTGCCGGTGCCCGGTAGATAACTTTAAAAGCTTCTTTTAACGTCGGTTTGATGGTTCCTATCGACTAGATGTGCGAGAATTGAACTCGAAATAGATCAATGTTCACCTCTACCTAGCCGGGCGGGCATGTGTTCGCGTATTCTCTTTTCCAGAAGCCTGGTTGTACGGCCAATATATTCCGCTCCACAGGAGCAGGTGAATGAATAAATACACATGGATGTGGCCTGAGATGGCAGCCGGTAGCGGGAGGGGGATTTGCAAAGAATACGCGCAAGTTCGCCGCGGGGAAGTTACTCGCGTGAGCTGTCCTGAGACGTCAGTCAGTCAGTGTATTAAGGAAAATAGGCTTACGCCTTTGAACTCGATAAATTAGCAGAATGTGAATAAAGTACTGCAGTAAGTGTATGCAGGCATTGATTTACTTATGTCACTAGTCTCATAGCTAAAACGTCACATAGTCCGCTTGGTGCTGTAACATATGTCTGTCAAGTCTACATTTAAATGTCGCCACAGATTGAGACATGACAACCGTCTCGGGCAGATTATTCCACGGTTCAACGACACAGTTGGAGAAGAAATGTTTTCTCACATTCAATCTACCCTGGGGCACACGTAACTTGAAGGGATGTCCCCGGAGGTTAGTTGTTGTGGCGAGTTGGAAAAATTCATCGCACCGAAGGGCGCAGTTCAAGCCACACACGATACGGAAAGTTTGTATCAAGTCTCCGCGCAGCTGCCTACAACTCAGAGGATAGAGATTAATGTTAGTTAAGCGGATCTCGTATGGCAGTGCACTTTGACCTCTTACTAATTTTGTGGCTCGACTCTGCACCCTTTCGAGCAGATTGTAATCCTGATGTGTCCATGGTCTCCAGGCCTGAATTGCATATTCGAGGTGCGGCCTTACAAACGTGCCGAAGACTTTGGCGAAGCAGTCTTCATCGAAAACTGCGAATGCCCGCTTGATGGCATATAGCATTGAAGTTGCAGCCTTGGCCGCCTTACAACATTGCGTAGAAGGCTTAAGGCTGTCTGCAACCCAGACTCCGAGATCTTTCTGCGTTTCTGCTTCTCGAAGTGGTATTCCGTTCAGATGGTATTGCCGCGTACTAAGGGGTCTGCTTTCCGAGGTGCAGTATGGCACATTTGGTCAAATTGAAGGACAAGAGCCGTCTGCGGGACCACTAGTCCAAACGACAAAGATTTTCTTGGAAGTTGGTCTCATCCGAAGCATTCTGGTTAAATTTCTAGATTTTTATGTCGTCCGCAAACATGGCCTTATCTCAGTCCAACCCATCTACACAATCATCGATGAACAAGAGAAAGAGGGTTGATCCGAGCACCGAGACTTGTGGGACTCCACTCTCTATGAATGTCCGCCTTGATTGCTGTCTTTCTACGCAGACAATTTGGGAACGGCCGACGAGGAAGTTTTCGGTCCATTTGAGAAGTTTGCCGCCAATGCCCATTATTCTCAAATTGTGAAGGAGACGTTGGTGCGGGACACTGTCGAAAGCCTTCCGGAAATCAATATAGGCCACGTGCACAGTGTGTTTTGCGTCCAGTGCTCTT